TTTAAAATTTTTTTAAAATGGCTTGTATCGGAATCGAACATACAACTACAAAAAGCAATCTAGTTTTTATTAACTAGAAGAGCTTTTAGCTTTTAAATATAATTGTTATAAAATATTTAATTTAATTATCAGATTTATCTAAAGGATTGAATATTAAAAAATATTATAATTTTGACCGAAATCGGTAGAGGATGAACAACCAAATTTATATAATCTATCGCTTATAGTCTCTCTATCATCGTCTTTGACTCTCTTATCATTATCATCTATCGAGCCTTTATAAACTTTATCTTTATCATCGTCTTTTCTGTTAATATTCATGGGTAAAATGCTATAAAGGAAATAAATATAAAACTAGTGAGAAAATTATATGTATAAAAAATTACGTCATTCGGTCTAATAATCTCAATTATTACGACAACTATAATAACAAAAATTTAGATTCTAACAAAAATATCAATGAAAAAAGTCTTATTTTTCAAACTTAAAAATTTTAAAAAATGGCTTTTATTGGAATCGAACTAACAAAAACTACACGAGTTTATATTAACTCGGAGTGCTTTTACACTTTAAAATATAATTGTTATAAAATATTTAAGTTGTTTTTTTAATTTATATGAAGAATTGAATATTTAAAAATAAAAATTGTTTTTATAATACAGTTACAAACTTTAAATTTTTATAAAATATGAACAATATCAGTATCGAAAATACAAAAACCATTCAACTTTTTATTAACTTGGAGGGTTTTAATTGAAAATTTATCTAAAAATTGAATATTTAAAAATAAAAATATTTATTCTAATTGACTGTATGATATCATATATTAAGTGAATACATATGTTTTAAATATACTAAAAATTAAACTAAGAAAGATACAATGGCTTAAAATAAAAAGTCACTCCCATTTCTTCTTCTTAAATAAAAAAATATAATAAAATTATCACACCGGCATAAGTTGATGTTGTGACTAGTTACAATTAGTCGATTGAAACATGTGTAATTAGTTTAACTCTTTTTAAAATGTTTAAGAAAAAAATCTAAATAAAGATCATGAACAAAAATTTAAATTTTTTTAAAGTTACAAACAACCCATTACCCATGCAAGGCAGGACAAGAATAGAATTGTTTTAATTGCTTATTATAAATTAGTATAAAATTTTGACTTAAAACATATATTTAGTTTCTAAAAAACTTAAATTCAAAACCAGGAATAATTTTTTTCAAATATTATATTTAAAAATAAAAAGGCATTTATATATTCCTCAAAAAAATCGTTTAAAAGTAAATTTAATGAATTTTTTTCATGACAAAACATTTAACAGAATGTCAAAAAGCTTTGTTAGAAGAAAATATCAATTTTGGTCTTTATCATAGTCAAATTACTCAAAAGAGAAATACGTGCAAAGATATTTTTCAAGTTAAAAAATGGTAAATTTTATGAAAGAAAGAGAGGATATGGTAAAAAGAAATGCTTCAACCTATTTATACAATATTTTTAGTTAAAGTACATTCTAATTATTATTTTGTTACTCTACCAACCTTACAATTAAAATTATTAGATAGAATTAATTTGAATATAAGTACACTAACCCTATCTAGATTCTTCAAAAATTTTGTTTCATTACAAATCATCTAGTAAAAAACCATTATTGAGGGGTGTTAATATTGAAAATGATTTTCTAGATGAATCAAAATTTAATGTATTTAATAGTGATAGAGGAAGATATGCTCGTTATCTTCCTGGAGAGAAACATGAAACATCAAATATTTTACAAACAATTAAACATGTTGGAGAAAATATTTTTATTAACAAAAAGAGAATTAAAAGAAAAAAATATATATTATTTAATTGATGCTGGTGTGTTGTAAAACTACTTTAAATGCTTTCATAAACGTGGTTTAGAGGTTTATAAAGTAAAAAGTAAGCACAGCTGTTTTTAAATTTATAACTACCCTTAATTTTAAAATATAATATTTTAAAAAATTTTATTCTTGATTATTATTTTAAAATTTTTTAGAAACCAAATATAGGTTTTAAGTCAGAATTTTCTACTAATTTATTATATTAAAAAAAACAATTCCATTTTATATATTTTTTTACTTAAGAAGAAAAAAAGGATGCCTTTTAATTTTAAAAGCTTTTGTATGTGTTAAAAAGAAATTAAGTTTACAGATAAGGAAGATAAGAAAAGAGAAAGAAGCGCCACATTGGTTTTTTTATTATAAGGTTTTAATGAAATAAGTTATATTTTTCAAACCTTAAAATATTTTTTAAAAAATGGTTAATATCAGAATCGCACCTGTAATAAAAATTCACAGTTTATATTTACTGTGAACTAATTAGTAATATTATAAAATAATATAATAATGTATTTAACTTAATAATAAATATTTTAAGAATTAAATGCTTAAAATATAAATAGTTTTTCCCGAAACTAAGAGTGGAGGATGTTGAAGTAAGTTTATTAATTGAGGATTCACTATCCGCTATATATATTCCTTTAAAGGTTTCCCTTATGTCTTCATTTGTATCCATGTCTGTTGTTTCATTTACGTTGTCTTGTTTACTTGGTCTGTTGTCTTCCAATTTCATGGGTAAAAATTTTTAAACAAAATAAATCTTTACATCAAATTTTTACAAAAGGAGTAAAGTGAATAAATATAACTTAATAAACTATAGATTTTTGTCAAATTGCAGTAGTTAAGATACTGCAGTTTTTCTAATACAGTTCTCATTTTATAACAAAATTGTTGTGTTATCCATTTTATTTTAAAATATTTTAACCCTTGTTTTATGAAAAATAATGATAACAATAAACTAGATTCTAACGAAAATATCAATAAAAGAATTCTTATTTTCCAAACTTAAAAATTTTTAAAATGGCTCATATCAGAATCGAACCTACAGCAATAAATCACAGTTTTTATTAACTGAGAAGTAATTATCATGTTTTATAAGAATATTATAAAATACTTAATTTATTTGTAAATATTGAAAGAATTGAATATTTAAAAATAGAATTAATTTTTATAATAGAGTTCTCGTTTTTTTATAAGATTCTGTGATATAAGTCTCATTTTTTAAACTTAAATTTTTTTTAAAAAAATAGCTTGTATCGGAATCGAACATACAACTTCAAAAACAACTCGAGTTTTTATTAACTAGAAGAGTTTTAACTGCTTATTAAAAATTTTTATAAAATATTTAACTTTTTTTTAATTTATTTAAAGAATTGAATATTTAAAAATAAAAATTGTTTTTCTATTACATTTCTCGTTTTTTTAAGATTCTGTAAAATATGTCTTATTTTTCAAACTTAAAATTTTTATAAAAATGGCTTGTATCGGAATCGAACTAACAAAAACTACACGAGTTTTTATTAACTCGGTGTGTTTTGTATTTCTAAAATATAATTTTAATATAATATTTAAGTTGTTTTTTTAATTTATATTAAGAATTAAATATTAAAAAATAGAATCGGTTTTTATAATAGAGTTCTCGTTTTTTTAGAAGATTCAGTGAAATATGTTTTATTTTTCAAAATTAATAAATTTTAAAAAAGGCTTGTATCGGAATCGAACTAACAAAAAACACTCTAGTTTTTATTAACTAGAAGCATCTTTGCTATTTTAAATATAATTTTTATAAAATATTTAAGTTGTTTTTTTCAATTTATATAAGAATTAAATATTTAAAAATAGAATCAATTTTTATAATACTGTTACAAAATTTAAACTTTTATAAAATATGAACAATATCAGTATCGAAAATACAAAAACCACTACAGACTTTTATAACTGTAAAGGAATTAGGAAGTTTATATATAATTATAATAAAATTTAAAACTAGAAATGGTTTTACTAAAACATTACTCTTTTTATTATAAGATTTTGTTAAAAAAAGTTTTCTTTCTCAAATATTAAAAAAAGTTTATATCATAATCGAACCTTTAATAATAATTCACAGTTTTTATTAAATGTGAAGTGATTATCTTTGCTATAAATAATTCTTATAAAATAGTTGAATTGTTTTTTTAATTAATAAAAAGAATTAAATATTTATAAATAAAAATGGTTTTATAATACAGTTTTCATTTCATCAAAAATATTCATAAAATAAGTTATTTATACAAAATTTATAACATTAAATATGAATAATATCAGAATCAAACCTACAACCCAGTTGAATTTATATTAACTCAAATAGTTATACTTATATTTTATTCTGATAAAATATTTATATTGTTTTTATAAATTTATCTAGTGAATTGAATATTTTAAAATAAAAATGTTTTTTCTTTCTATTATATGATGTCATATACCAAAAAATAAAATATAAGTTTAAATATGCTAAAAAAAGTAAATAAAATATATTTTAATAAAAGAAATTAAATTTATAAATAATGATGATAAGAAAGAAGCAGTACATTGCTTTTTTCATTATAAGATTTTGATGAAATAATTTTTCTTTTTCAAACTTTGAAATTAAAAAAATGTCTAATATCAGAATCGAACCTATAATAATAAATCACGATTTTTATTAACTGTTAATCAATTATTAATACAGTAAAATAATATAATAATATATTTAAGTTATTTATAAATGTTTAAAGAATTAAATATTAAAAAATAGAATTGGTTTATTAATACAGTTCTCATTTCACTATAAAATCGTTGTATTATTCATTTTATTTTAACTTTTATTTTATAAAAAATAACACTAACAATTAATTAGATTAAAACAAAAATATAGATGTAATAAACATTCTTTTTTAAACTTTAATATTTTAAAAAAAAGGACTTATCTTAAAATCAAATCTGTAATAATAAATCACAGTTTATATTAACTGTGACGCAATTCTCAAGTTGTATAATAATATAATGAAATATTTAAGTTATTTTTAAATGTATTTAAAGAATTAAATATTAAAAAATAGAATCGGTTTTTAAAATACAGTTTGTTTTTTTATAAGATTCTGTGAATAAGTCTTATTTTTCAAACTTAAAAAATTTTTAATATGACTTGTATCAGAATCGAACCTACAACTTACAAAAACTACTTGTGTTTTTATTAACTCAAAGAGTCTTAACTCATCTTATACAAAATTATGAAAAGATATTTAAGTTGTTTTATTTAATTTAACTAAAGAATTAATATTTTAAATAGAAATAGTTTTAATAATAGATTACTCTTTATATTATAAAATTTTATTGAAAAAAGTCTTATTTTTCAAATTTAAATATCAAAAAAGGTTAATATAAGATTCGAACCTTCTACAATAAATCACAGTTTTTATTAACTCTAGATTGATTCTAAGTCTATAAATATATATGATAAAATATTTAAGTTGTTATAAAATATTTAAAGGAATTGAATATTTAAAACTAAAAATAATTTTTATAGTACAATTTTCATTTCATCTCATCAAAAATATTTGTGAAATAAACTATATTATACAAACTTTAAATTTTTTAAAATATGAATGACATCAGAATCGAACCTATAAAAAGTGGCTAAAGTTTTTTTTAACTCAAAGCCATTTTATAAAACTTAAATATAATTTTAATAAAATATTTTAGTTTTTTTTATAAATTTATCTAAAGAATTGAATATTTATAAATAAAAATGTTTTTTCTTTCTATTATATGATGTCATATATCAAAAATAGAATATAAATTTAAATATTCTAAAAAAATAAAGTAAATATATTTTAAAAAAAGAATTAAGATTATAAATAATGAAAATAAGAAAAGAGAAAGAAGTAGCAAATTGCTTTTTTCATTATAAGATTTTGATGAAATAAGTTATATTTTTTAAACTTTAAAATTAAAAAATGACATATATTAGAATTGAAACTACACTAATAAATCACAGTTTTTATTAACTGTGAAGTAATTATCATGTTATATTAAATATTATAAAATATTTAAGTTATTTGTTGTAATAAAGTTATAACATGAAAAGTTTAAGCCTTTCATCTAATTTATTCATGCCTGTTTTATTGTGATCTCTACATTATAAATTTAAATAAAAATTAATATCCATCAAATAATGATGAACAGAGATAATGAATCTACCAGTGAAATTTCAAGTATGAATGAATTTATTAATAAACTGATCATTGGAGTTACGACAATATTTATAAATATTTAAAAATATAAATGGTTTTTCTAATACAAATCTCATTTTATTACAAAATTGTTTTATAGTTCATTTTATTTTAATATATTTTAATTCCTGATTTATGAATAATAACAATTAATTAAGTTTAAACAAAAGTATTAATTGAATAAGTTTTATTTTTCAAATTTAAATTTTTTAAAAAAATGATTTATTTTAGAATTAATCCTGTAATAAAAATTTCAAGTTTATATTTACTGTGAATGTATTAAGCTTGTTATTTTATCATGATAAAATGGTTGAAGTTGTTTTTAAAATCTAAACAATTATTTTTATTACCGAAATCGATAGAAGATGAATAGCTAAGTTGTTTAATTATATTACTATCAGATGTATTTAACTATTTATCATTTCAACTTTATTGTCGTTGTCTTATATCATATAATCTATATATTTATATGTTTTATTATTATTAACTTAAAAGTTAAAATTTTTAAATTAAAAAAATACCCATTCGTAACTGATGTTATTTACAATTGAAATAAATCATTTTATTGGTTCTTAAATAAATTACTTTAAGTTCTTTTTTTTAATACACATGTAATATCCCAAAGGGTATTAGTAATTTTATTACCAAAAATTTTAAGCTTTTTAAAGTCACAGTTGGTAGAGCACGATATGATTTTTTTAGTAAAACTTAATTTTTGAGATTTTTGACAGTTAGATAACTACAACTATCTTTTTATTATGATACAACTCTTTTTTTCATTTATGATTGTATTATTAATAGTTAGCATTACTTATCTTTCAATATTAAAAGGTTTTATTAAATAAAACAGTTTATGATAAATTATTTTAATAAGTCAATAAAATATATCGATTATAATAGTTAAGAAAAATAAATATTACACTTGATTTTTTAGTTTAATATTAATATGTTTGAAAATTTTGTTATAATTTAATATATCAGCATCTTAATTTATATTTATAAATCTTTAAAATTATATTATATAATCTTTAAACTTTAAATTATTCTAATAAAAATAGTTTTATAACCAGTAATCGTTTGTTTAATTGTTTTTCTTTTAATTTTTACTACTCGTTTTTGATTAATAAAATTTTTCCCAAAATCTATAAGTTTGATTTTTTCTTAGAAATTTAAATTTTTTCATGAAGCAAACTTAAGATTGCAACAAATAAGATGTTTTAGAAAAGAATTTTAATAGATTTTAATCAAATTATTCTTTTAATATATTTGTTTACTTCAAATATTTTATTTTTATTATATTGTCTACAAAATTGTGCCTTTGTTTAGTAAAAAACAGGTATAATTTTATAAAGTTCGATTCTTTTTTATTCTCAAAAATATTTCTAAACTTTATATATTTTAAGAATAACAATGTTAGACGAATAAATCTCTCTTTGTTAAGTAAAAAACAAAGCGTATTTTATAAGGTTCGATTTTCACAAATTCATTTTTTATATTTAACTTTAAATTTTATTAAATAAAAAGAAATGATTTTGATTAAATATGTAGTTTATTATAAGTGATGTGAGACTTTAAATTTTTATAAATAATTGTTTATTATTTCTTTATATAACTTTTAATATCAATAAATAAATTATATTAATTAAACTCAATTTTAAGTAATTTTGTCTCACTTTCATTAAAGACATTCTAATTCATAACAAATTGAAATTTTATTAAGTTTAATTCTTAATGTAAGTTATATTAATTATAATTTTAATAAATATTTGTGAAATGACTGTTTATGTTCAAAAAAATAAGCTGTCATTTTAAGTGTTCAATTCTTTAAATAAATTTTATTGCCGTAACTACTGTTACTGCTGTGAGGAATAGGCATATAATATTTTTCAGGGTAAGTAATTTATTTATTCCTTAAATATTAATATTGTTTATAAATAAACAAAGTTAATTAATATTTCAATATTAAAAAAAAACAATTTCCAATTATTACTTACTTAGACTAAGTAAAAAGGTTTTCAATCTTTGTCATGTTGTGACATGACATTTATATTTTATAAAAAATAAATATTTTATAATTATTAAGTGTTAAAATCAATCTTAAATTGTTTTATTTCTAAAAACTTTTATTAGTAATTTTTCTCAAATAATTATTGTATTTATAAAAAAATAAGGGAAGAGATAACTTTAAATTCAAATAATAAAAAAGATGTCTTTTAAAGTAAAGTTTGATTCTTATAAAGTTAATAATAATAATTAATAACTTTTTAAAAGATCAATCAATAAAAAAAACTTTTAAATTAATTTTTAAAAAATATTTTATCAATCGAAAATGTGTAGTAGAGATTTAAATAAAGATAATAAATTAGTTACAACAATAAGTTTGATAGTTAGAATATTAATAAAAAAATGTTAATTATATTTTAATTCGAAGATTTAATGATATATTGATTTTTATTCTTTATTATAAAATTTCTGTGAAAAGAGATTTTTTTAAACTTTAAAATTAAAAAATGACTTACATCAGAATCGAACCTATAGAAAACAAACACCGTTTTTATTAACAGTAAAGCGATAATGTGAATATTTATAATTATTAAAAAGTATTTATGTTATTTTTTAAAATTTATTAAAAGATTTGAATGTTTAAAATAAAAATGGCTTTTATAACAGACTTCTCGTTTTATTAAAAAATTTTGGTAAAATAACTTTTATTTTTTTTAAACTTTAAAATTTTAAAAAAGTAGTTTATATTAAAATCGAACCAGTAAAGACTAATACAGTTTTTATTAACTGTATAGCGATTATATCATTATATGTCGATGTCAATTAATTTCATGGGTAAAAAATTTATTATAATATTTATAATTCCCGACATTATATAATAACATAATAAAACAATTAAGTTGTTTAATTATATTAATATTAAAAATAAATATGATTTTTCTAATACATTTAACTTTTTTAAGTTTGATATAAGTTATATTATATAAATTTAAAAAGTTAAAAAATGACATATATCAGAATCGAACTTTCAATAATAAATCACTGTTACTATTAAATTTGACATAATGTTCAACTTGTATAAAAATATAATAAAATATTTAAGTTTTTTTATTTAATAAAAAGAATTGAATGTTTAAAACTAAATATTAAAAAAATAACTTATATTAAAATAGAACCTACAAAAATCAGTCTTAATTTTTATATACTCTAAAGCTCAATTCTCAGAATATAAAAAAACACAATAAGATATTTAAGTTGTTTTTAAATATTAAAAGATTTGAATATTAAAAATAAATTTTTATAGAACTACTCTCATTTAATTATAAGATTTCAGTTAAATTAGTCTTTTTTTTCAATTTTATATGATTAAAAAATGGCTTTTCTTAGAATCAAACTTACAATAATAAATCACAGTTTGTATTTACTGTGAGGTGATTATACCATTATATAAAATTATAATAAAATATTTAAGCTGTTTTTAAAATATTTTTTAAAAATTTAAAATAAAAAAATTTAATTGAAAAAGTTTTTTATTTTAAATTGTTAAAAAATACACAACATGTTTTTATACTGATATACTTTAAAAATTTTTATAAAATAAATATTTAAAAAAATTATCAAAAAATCGTACATTTAAAAATTTAAGAACAGTTTTTAATTAAAACTAAGCTTTAAATTTTTCTGTCGAATAAAATTAAAAATATTTAAACTAAAATTAATAATTATTATAAATAATTATAAAAATAAGAGTTTGTTTAGTAAAACAGAAAACAGTTTTAATTTTACTTCTAAAAGATAATTTTTTAAAAAATGAGCTAAAAATAATCTAATCTTAATTAAATTAATTATTCTAAAAGCAAATGTTAAATATTCAAAATTCATTGAAAGTATTTAAAAACTGATTCAATATTAAATTAAATCATATAACGATTAATTTAAATTTCTTCAAAATTTAAAAGTCGTTTTAATAACTTATAAAAAATAAATTAATCGATGATTATTTAATAATTTAAAAAATGTGATCTTAAAAAAGTTTCTTTAATTTTAAATTAAAAATTCTTTCTTTATTCACAATCGAACCTTAAAAATCATGCAGAATTTATTTAATTTTCAATTGATTTTTCCATTTAAATATAAAAAGTTTTTTATTTAATATTGAAACTAATTAAAAAATCATATTTAAATTTAATTCTTAAGAATTTGATACTTAAAACTCAGTTATTATAAATAAATTGCAATTTTTTAATAAAATAATTTAAAATTATCAGTTTTAATAAAAAATCCTTTTTTCAGAATCGAACTGAATAAAAGAATGTGCCATATTTATTAATATTTCACAATATTTTTACTAGACACTTTTATAACAAAATATTTAAACTTTAAAATTAAAAATTTTTCATTTTGTTTGAAGAAATTGAACTAAAAAAAATTGAATATGGTTTGTTTAGACCATTATTCAATATTCAGGTTTAAAATTTGTATTAAAATATAATTAATTCAGATATTTAATTTTTTTTAAAAAATGTTTTTTTTAAAATCGAACTTTAAAAAGTGAGATACATTTTTTTTGAAATAATCACATTTTTCAATAGTGAATATTTTTTTTATAAAATATTAATTTTAAAAAGTTCTTTAAATAAAAAATACTTTAAATTGTATTTTAGAAAACTATTAATAATAAATTTATTATGATTAATTTTAATATAAATATTTATAAAAAGCTTTTTTTATATTTAAAATTATTAATAATAAATTTTTTATTGATAGATTTTAAGTAAACATTTATTTAAATTTTTTTTCTAAACTTTTTAAAGATGTTTTGAGTTTAACAATTAAATTTTTAGACTAAAAAATATAAAAAAACTGATTTGTGTAATAAAAATACTTTAAATTAATAAAATGAAAAAATAATCTTTTAAAGGAATTCGAACCATTAAAAATTGCTCAAATCTTTTTGATTTTAAAGGAATTTTTATCAGATAAATATTAAATAATAGAATATAAAAGACAAAAGTTTTTATGATATTATCTTTGAAAATATAAGAGTATTTTTTATTTAAATTTGTTTTTTAAGGTTCTAATCTTTTTTAATAAAAAATGTTAATCATTTATATTAAACTTTTGTAATTATTAAATAGTATATTTTTATTTAATTCTTTATATAAATTTTTAAGAATAAAATTTAATAATATTAAAAAACAATAAACTCATTTATAATATTTTTTCATATTGATATTATAAAAGTTTTAACTTTTAACATTAATATAATTTATAATAAAAAACTAATTGTGATTATTTAAAATATAATTTTATAAGAAAGTTTTTTTTATAAATATTCTGTTAAAACTATTATTTTTATCAATTAACTAGTTGATATTTTCAAATAAAAACCATTTTTACAAAATAAAAAAATTATACTTTTTTACGATTTTTAATGAACGTAAATACTTGTAATTTTTAATTATTTAATAATTAATGGTTAATATAAATGTAAGGATACTATCTGGTATTTTATGTAAGAATAAATGTATTAAAACGTAAATGAATAAAATATAAAAATTATAAAAGAATTCAAATTTTTTTTAATATTAAAATAAATAATATTTAAATGATCGTACTTAAAATATAACTCTAAAAAATATTTTTCATTATCAGTTCCTTATGATATTTTTACATTAATTTTTTTCAATTACTTAAAAATATTTAAAAAAATTCTTTGATAAGAATCGACTTTAAAATTGATATTAGTTTATATTTTAAACTCAATGTGTTATTAAACCATTAATTATTTTATTGATTAAATATTTTTGTGATGGGTGAAATTTACATTTGAAATAAAACAGTTTAAAAAAATATCAAATAAAGTAAAAAATAGATTTAAATTTCAATAAAAAAATGATAGTAGATAAGACACTTTTTAAAATTTTTTAAATTTTATATCTATATTATATTTATTTAGTTTAAACTTTACTAATTTTAGTTGTTTTTATTAAGATGAGTTTTACCTTTTTTATAAATAGTTTTTAAGTACTGGAAAATTTTAATTTGTATATATCATGTTGAAAACATTTTGATATCAAAAAATTACTTTTTATTTAAAAATACTTGATATAAAATAGTTTTTGTTTTTGCCGAAACCGGTAGAGGATGTAGTAGTAAGAAGTTTATTTATGTAATTTGCACCTTCTGATGGTGAATCTTCCTCTGTTGTAAGAGGTTCTACTGTTGCTGTATCTGTATCTGTGATCTTATTGATCGTATTGTCTGTCTTGTTTCCAATATTCATGGGTAAAATTTTTTTTACAAAATTTATAATTAAAAGATTATGTCAGAAAGAAAATAAAATTTACATTAAAACACCTCATACCACTAT